TTGGAGGAAATATTAGCCCCATGGCCAACTTCAATACATGCTTGCATACTTTGGGTTGATTCTACTCAGAAAAACATCAATATGCAAGCTCAGTAATTGACAGTAACGTATTAAAGTTCATCCACAACTTTTCAGATCTGACAAACATTCAAATGTGCTATAGAAATGGTTAATTTCCAGGTTTGAATATGTAAAATATTTATCTACCTTCAGAAGAGACTGGAACCAATTCTCCTGGAGATGGAGCCTATATAAAATGATACAATCATTAAATAATATGAAAGAATATTGAAGGTTTTATTAGTTAAAATGTTTAAACAAAAATGGTCAGCTGTTTTAACATAGTAGCCGAATGGCTATGAGGCTACCACCACAGACTTGCTCTGCTTTCTTTAGCTTTGGCTTTTTTAAATAGCGGTTCGTGTCTAGAATGCGCTTGGGCAATGGTGGTTTTCCAAAGACAAATCATAATGCTGACAGAAAGCTTAGCGGTGGTGCTCAAAGCCCATATCCCACTTTAGCCTTCAGTCACTGATCTATCTATCCACACACACTACCATTACTCTTTTCCCTTGAGGGAAAAAAAAATTAAAAATGTACACACATTTAGGGCTATATTTATAAAGATGGCAGAAACAAAGTTACATTTCTTGAGCCCTGTATTTTTCCTAGGTAGTAAAAAAAAAAAGAACAAAAAAGGATGACGACAAATACGATGTCTTGAAAATAAAGCAAAATGGGCAACATATCAAGGTAAAAAAAAAGTGACAGGTTTCCCTTGATAGCCCACTCTAAAAACTTACCTTTCCCAGGCTCCTTCACTACCTTGTTTGCCTGCTGGAGCCCTGTGTCAGAGTGTACACTATGCTAATGACCTTTGCCTCCATCCCCAAATTACCCCAGGCCTGGCAATTGGCCCCTCATGTGCCAAGCAATGTATCAAGAGAAGGGGAGAAGGTCACATGCTCCTTCAAGCCCAGAAGTACCAAGTATATCCAAGGGCACTAGCAGCAGAAAGGGGCAGCAGGAGAGAACATTGTAGGATAGCATCAGCGGAAAGGCTGGTTTCTGGAATGCCAGAGTGTGGTGGAGTGTGTGTCAGACTATGCTGACTACTTCTCTTTTTGCCTCGATTGTCATTAGCAGGCACCTGATAAGCCATGTAATAAAAACCTCAGCAAGCCACAACAATAGGCAGGACAGTCCCTTCTTCACACTTCATAGTTACAAGGAGAATACACAGTATATTGCCCTAATATAAGGAATTGAAATTCTGTCACACAAATAGTTCTATGTAACCAGAATAAAGATAAAGGAGTGATTTTGAAAGTCACATTCTGGTGATGCTACTGCAGACTTGGCAAAGCTATTCCTAAAACATTCTTGTTTGAAATGTTCTCATAGGAAATAACACACCACCACATCTGAAGCCCTGAACTAAGGAAAGAGAGAAATACAACAAAGGTTGGTTTGCATCACAGCTTAAAAACAGGAGAAGTCTGTATTAATAATTAATTACACCAGTATGAAAGTTAAAGTAGCAGCTGAAATACATTAAGTGGGAGAATTCCAAAAACACTATAAGCATCAGATATGGTGAGACGTGTGCGCGGTTGTGAAAAACAAGATTTTGGTCCTTTATAAAAATATCCCCCATTAATGTTTAACATTGCAGCAAACCTGGGTTTCATACCTAATGTACTGGTGTGTCACAAACATTTTACGTTTCATCTGTGGCTCCAATGATTTTGCATTTTCTTTTCTCTGTCCAAAATTTTTCCCCCTCTACCTGTAGTTGCTTTCCTTGGTTTTTTTTTCTGTTGTCATCACAGAGACGGCTGAGGTAGCAGGAATGCATGTTTTCTTCTGATACAGAGCACTCTTGATGGAGTATAGGTTTACTACTCTGAATAGTGGTGACAATAACCCTCCTCCTCAGCTTATGGCAAAACACCATTGTGCAGGGTGACAATGGATTAATTGCCAGCAAGTTAGTGTTGTCAATATTCTATTATATATAATCACAGGTTATAAGTGCTGCCAAAGTGAGTGTCTCTGGGGAAACGAACGGCACCCCTGACCCAACCCCCATATAACCAATGATCCCATGCCACTCCACAAATCTGTGCCAATATCTTGCACTTTCAGGTATGACAGAACATGAGACCTCATACCCTGTGACAGTTCTGGAGACTACATGGCCAGTCTCTAGACCCAAACACTCTCACATAACCAAGGAAGTGATGTCACTGCTTCCAAGACACACACGCCCATGTTAAGGCAGGCTGCAGAGGAGGAATGTGCGGCATGGAATCACCGGTATGGCAAGCATATAGAGGGTCCGGGGGGCCCTGCATAGACAAGGTTTGGTAATGTTTGACCCTCTGGAAGTTCTCTACTGCAGCCCCCTTGGAGTAAGCCCCCTTACTCCAATTTCAGTGTAAACAGGGACAACACAATAAAACGCTGACTAAGGTTCCAGTCCGCCTCCAAATTAATTTAAAAAATACTTTTACTGGTTTGTCCCTGTGAGAGATTTCCCCTACCATACAGTAGTTCAAGATACAACATTACTAGGACAGGAATGGCAAACATTACTAGTGGAGACAGACAAATACATAAACACTTACAGAATGTACAATGGCTGTAGCTTCCTTTTCACTGCAGCAGAACGGGCTATCTGTAACCATAACATTTTTACTGGGGAAAAGAAAAAAAATTGAAGTTCTGAAAAACCATTTACTAAAACCAGACTGAACCAAAAAATAAAACCCAAAATGTTTGAAGAAACCTAATCATTCAACCTTTTTATCCCTGTCATTTGCTGGCATCAACTAGCCAGCTACACAGGAAAGGCAGGGAAAAATAATTCAGTTTATCTCTTTGGATTCTTTTGTATGTTGGTCTACAAAATTAGGACCAACGTACTGAAAATATGGACTCTACTCCAGCATTACACAACGATAGGGTTTTCGGAATAAAACCTTTCACCTCTTTTTGGCTCTGATGTTTATTCCCAAAGAGTTACAAATGCGTTCGCTGATTAGAGTGGAAAACAAACAAGCATACACTGTAGGAATGTCCCTACACAGCCTTGGCGTGACCAACACGCAGCCCTGGTGAGACCGCACAAAGCCCTGTATAATTGCTGTATAATCATGGATTGATGGGATCAATGATTATACAGCAATAGAGAATAACTGGCTATAGAGTAGCACAATTCTCAGCAATCCATGATAATTGTGGTCCTCTATAGCTGGTTGCCAATCTCCATTGTTGAATAATCATGTATTGAGTTACAGTTCTTCATAATTATAAAGAAAATGCCTAAAATAATTACTCTGTATTGTTTTGGAAAAAAGGTCACATGTCCCTTTAGGAAAAAGTATCGGTAATTGGTATCAGGAAGTACTTTGAAAACAAGTGTTAAATCAGGACATCCCTAATACACTGTATTCAAGAAAATCAGCAGGACACATACCATTTTATCTCACCACATTCTGATTTTTTATGGACCATGTCTTTCCAGTGGTCATGAGTAAGTTTGATAACCTCAATTGCAAATGCCTAGGAAAAGGGGAAAACATAAATAAAGCCAAGACATCCATAATACTGTTGTTTTTTTTACTCCGTCATTTAAAATGTCACAATTTAATAATCAAGCACAATACAACAGGAGACCTTCTGATTTTTCTAACCCATACATACAATCACGGATGCACCGAAATTTCGGCTGAAAATTGCACTTTTGGCAAAGTGCCGAAAGTGCCATTTTTTGGCCGATATAGCGGTGCATCCATGCTTTCTCTCCTCCCCTCTGGGCGCTGCTCTGTGTCCCAGTGGGGAAAAGAGAAACTGTCACAGGAAGCCGAGCGGTGCAGGAGGAGAGCTCTGTGAGTGGCCGCCATCTATCTCCTCCCCGCACCGTTTAGCGTCCTTTAACAGATCAGGAGAGTGGTGTGTGGGCAGAGACAGCTTGCAGTGCTGTCACAGGAGGCTGAGCTCTCCTCCCACACTGCTCAGCCTCCTGTGACAAATCAGCTGTCACAGGAGGCCGGGATGGCGGTGCGGGGGAGGAGTCAGCTGTCAGTCCCCTGTGACAGGTCCTAGCTCAGTCTCCTGTGACAGCGTGTCAGGATGGAGAGCGGGTACAAACACTCGCTGAGCGTTGTACATAACTGAGGACAGAATAGGTTTACTGTGCCCTCAATTATGAATGAATAGGAAGTCATCTACATCACATCCTGTTCATTAATGTTCATTACCATGTCCACAATCCTGAATGAACAGGAGCACTCAGTATAGGAGGATTCCTGTTCATTTATAACAGGGGCTGCAGAAAAAGAGATTGAGTACACTTTCTATTTTAAAAGGGAAATATCAGGGGTCTGTTTAGACCCCTAATATTTCCCCAAAGCCACTAAAAGTAAAAAAAATAGAAATATTTAATAAAGATAACATTTAAAAAATATATATATTTTAAAGAATGTGAAAAGTTAGGGGGAAAAAAAACAAAACATTTTCGGTTTCAGTCTGACTTTAATTTTGGTTTTGAAATGTTCATTTTGGTGCACCTCTATATACAAGAAATAGTGTGTTAATAGTCAGGAAAAAGATGACCTTATTTCTTATTGCCCAAATCCCTGTTTAACTTTGGGAACCATATGACCTTTATCTCAACACAAAGAAGGACAGAAATACTGAAGCTGCCAATGTGGATTTGGTTTTTAAAAGGTGCAGGTTTCAAGGTCATCATCCTCATCCTGGTTATACTACCCAGAAATCAATAATTAGGAACATGTATGGAGGATGGACATTTTGGCTTCTAAGGCTTGGCTGGCTGTATGCTTGTTCCAGTGATTCAAATATTGAAGCAAGAGAACCACAGCAATCTAGCAATGTGTTTGAGATGTATCAGATTCGCATTTACCCATCTGATTAGGCACTGGACTTTTTAAGACATACATTGACAGCATAGCTCTAATAGAAAGCGAGAACCAATTTACTTACTTCCTAAACCTTCCAACCTCTGGAGAGAACAAAGTAAGAGACGTGAGCTATAATTAACCAGGGTCGCATGCTGCTGATGAGGATCACCACACCTTCTTACTGTAATTACACACACGTGCTATTCCTTATGGCAGCTATATTCTAAGCCCCCTGAAGGTTTCAGTGCAATCAATTACCACACAGCAAGGCACATTTCACATCAAACACAATACTCAGCGGCAAACATTCTAGAAACAAGAAAGCAGCAGTTCATAAGGACCAGATGATTGAGTGTGAGAAATGATAAGCCTAATGAGAACAATGGAATATACATTCTAATGAATACTCCCTGGTATTTAAGCATGTTCACGCTGCAGCATTTCATACATTTCACTTTTTACTGGAGTATCTTGGCTACACATCGCCCATTCCCAGTGGCCCCCCACTGGCAGAATACTTCAGAGCCAAATCAAAAGAAGATGCCTTTAGCTACTGAATTGCTTCCACCACTCTGCACATACTTGGAGGTTATTATAGATGCACAGATACAATTAGAACGTGAAAGAAGCAAAGCTTAGATTCTATTTTACAGTTTCAGTGAGTTGTGTATGCTTTGCCTTACTTGGTCTTTAAACTCTCCATTAAAGCCAAACTTATTTTCTGGCTTGCCATCAGGGACTTTATATGATTTCAGCCAATCAACAGTGGCCTCAAGATAACCAGGTTTCTGCTTTCTTACATCTTCAATACCTGCCAAAAGTTAGAAGATATTACATGGGCATGACAAGCTATATGATCAATATAAGACATTGACAAATCATCTCTGTACCACATTGCTCATTACCATTCTCTAGCAGCAAATGAAACTCAAAATCATAAAAAAACAAAATTCACTGATTAACCACATGAGCACCAGTTTAAAATGGCACTGAATTTGCATTCCCCTGGAACTCTTGAGATGCGAGATCCCAGCCATCTGACATCAATAGATGTTCCTGTGGGATCCCACCACCATGTTTAACCCCTTCGTGACGGGAGACGTACAGTGTATGTCTTGTCACTTTGTGCCTATATGACTGGCCACGTACACTGTACGTGACGAGTTATATCAGGCTTTAGACAGAGTTGCTCAATTTTTTCATTATCCCCCTCTGCAGAGGAGAGCAATCTTTTGCAGCAAAAACACCCCTGTTGGTTCATCCTGCCAGGCATTCATTCCTATGGGTAAGTCATACTCATAGAGCCTTCCAGCTCTATGTAAGCTTCCAGTAAGCCAAGATAATGGCTTACTCATAAGAATGAAGGTGCCACGGTGCACCAAGAAGGACATTTTTGCTAAAAAAAATAAATCACTGGATTGAGAAAGGTCATTTGTGCTGGTAGGGTCGAGCTGGTCATCCACACTCAGGGAGGTGTGGGATAGATTATAAAAGGACAATTGCACTAAAATAAAGTAGATGTATACCGTTAAATGAATGAAATGTTGCTAAATCACCATGTACCATAAACAATTGCTATGTCTTTTTCTTTTCAAACTTTTTATCTTTCACTTTGGTTTATCCTCTGTTGCATCTCAGTTCTGCTGATTTCAGACCATCAGGGCAGGTTTCCTGATGGTGACAACAGTAGGCCATGCCTGCATAACCTGTATTTAAATAGTAAATTGTAATATCCATCAGAAGCCTGTGTGATAGGGTGACCACACAGAATCACACAGAATCACAACTGGGAAAAGGGGCGAAAACTTTGGAACCCTGTTAACAGGAAGATGCAGATTTAAAAATTAAACATGTTGAAACTTCTAGTAAATTAAATTTTAGTGACTGCATTTATGTACATATACTTTCAAAATCAGGATAAATTAGTAGTTTTCCCAAACACTCGTTTCATGAGTTATGTTCCTCTCACTGGGTACAGAATACAGCAGGAGTTACAGGGGACACAAGCAGCAATCGACATGGTTGGAAGCTGAACATTATGCCTGGTGTATTAAGATCACATGAAACTGGAGGCTGACAAACACAAACTTCATTCACATATGCTGTATTTTATATCACACCCCTGTTACCATGTTAAATCATTATTGATATGTTGTGTTACTACTGATTGCACTTTGATTGACCTTCTAAAAAAAATACCAGTGAACTGACTTAGGCTGACCCATAGCTTTTAATAGGTTTTAAGATCTAAAACGCTAAAAGGAAAGTCAGAATTGTTTTTTTTCTTTCAGGTCACCAATTCAAAGTACTGAAACGAGAGGCTCCCCATGACAGCAAAGCAACAAAGTCAGCCTACATGGTTTAGTAAGGACACGCTTCCTTTGCTTTATCTAGACCAGGGGTGTCAAACTCAATTTAATCGTGTGCCGCATCAACATTATGGTTGCCCTCAAAGGTAACTGTAAGACTATATAAATGTATCTGATCTTTATCATAATTGTCTCTGCATTCGATTACCACTGGTTTTAGTAATAACTTAATACCTAGATCTGAAAGTAGAAGTCTAGGAAATGGCCTGGTGGGCCGGGTTTCGGCCCCTGGGCCTTGAGTTTGACACATGTGGTCTAGACCGTAAGGAAAATGTCTTTCATATTTTGCATCAAAGTATTAATCCACAAACTCCCCTGTATATAAGACAATATATACAGTAATAAAAAATTGCAAGCACCGTTTACAAATAACATGCCATGTGTTCCCAATATTCAATGCATAAACACCACCAGGAGTAAAGTTTGCACAAAGGAAAGAGGTTTATTCTTAGAAATCAGATCACCACTAGACAAACCAGTGTCTCTTTTACATTTAAAAACGACCACAGCACACAAAAAAAAGGTGCCAATCCATTCTTATTTGGGACGCTCTTTTCTTACTATTGCTGCCATATGCGTTTTAAAGTAAACCAGTGCTTTGCCCGTGTAGGACAAAACCGGTTAATTTAAGGTGCACCAACTTCCCTTCACTCCTTCTGTTTCATTTGACTTCTCAGAGTAAAGAGAGGAGGCCCTGCTGTGTAAGCTGCAAATTGGAGCTTGCACGAGGCCAAGTAACCCCTTTCCTTCTCAATTTAACAGCGTCAGTCTATGTAGCAATGTAAGATGCATTGCAGAGAATTTAATTGTTAGGGGTAAAACGGAACCTTTTGCTTTTCCCTGCATGGGCAATGCACAAGTTCACTTTAAAGATGTGTGCCCATTTTTAAAGCCAGGACCTCTTTACACAACTCATCAAGACTGGAACGTTCAGTTACTGGCCTCGTAAATTGTTTAAGTTGGCATTGATGATATTTACTGTCTGACAAAGCTTTGCAGACCAGTTCCTATGTGCCACGCCAGACACCTATTTTCAGCCTCTTCAGTTGTTAGTCATAGAACCACCTTCTGTACCTTCTTCAAAGGAAGAAGTTTTTGGATAAAAACAGACGGCATTGTCTGAAACAAGCACAGCAAAACCCTTCACTGGAACTAAGTGCAAGTTTCTCGATCAATGGAATTCTCTATATTCCTGGTTACAAACTAAAAACAATATTGAAGGAATGGTTAGTACATCACCTTGACTCTCACAAATTCTTACTGCAGATCCCACTTTTTTTGCACCTTTTTTTTCCAAACAATGCACCCAAAAGCATAAGGTCTTTTATATTATACATTACAGAGATGCACTCTTGCTTTTTTTGCAGGTGCTCCCCGTTATATAAATATTGTCCTACAGTATCCTGCTGTGCTATATTTTGAAGAATAGATCAGAGGAAATTTGGGTTCTAAATATTGCAAACTTAACCCTCCCCATGGTTATAGTCATGCTGGTCTATACACAAATTATTTGTTAAAAATACCACAACCAATCTTTAAAGAAGACTACAAAACATGAGACAGACAGACCTTACAGGAACAATTAGACTAGCCAACCATAATTCCATTTAAGAGCTGCTTGGGATCAGAGCTAGTCCACACACGCATAGAACCTAATCTCGTGGATCAAAACGCTCAGCAGCTGTATAAAAAGTAGCACAGTTAACTAAATACAGCACTTCAAGTATTATATAGAATTTCGGTGTGTATGGTATGTATGGTATGTATGTATGGTATGTATGTATGTATGTATGTATGTATGTTATGTATGGTATGTATGTTATGTATGTATATATGCATGCATGCATGTATGTATGTATGTATGAAGCACCAGAGGTTGGAAAAAAAACACATTTATTTTAATTATTTTTTTCTATTTCTATTGTATTGCTGTATGTACTGTACATATAATGCATACATCAATACAATACAAATAATAATTAAAAAAAAATAATAATGAAAATAAATGTATATATGTTATTTCCAACTTCTGGCGCTACATAAATACATACATAACACAAAAATTCTATACAATACTTGAAGTGCTGCATTTAGCTGTAGGCATAATACTTGGGTGCCTACAACCAGTATATTGCACTCTACTGTCCAATACAGTTCCAATAACCATGGCACTCCTTAATTGCTCAATCTGCTTTTATTCTACTAGAAAATGGTACATGAGCAAGTACGAAGATAAAATCTTCATCTTTGTACTTGCTAATGTACTGTTTTCAGTGAGATAAAAGCATATTGAGCAATTAAGGTGTGCCACACTAAAATACACATACAAAAATTGGATGGGAGGCGATCCACGACACATACAGGCCAACAACAAAATTTGGTAAATATGTATTGTTTTTAAACATTCCCCAGACAGAAGTGTACTGCCTGGAGACAGACCTGTGAATGAGGGTTACTGCCATGAACAAAAGAATTACAATTAGTGATTACCACTTCTAATTACATCTTAACATTTGAAGGAGATCTGTATTGAGACAAATATAGGCTCCAGTTGCTGGCCTGACCTCCCCTTCTGCATGCTAGTTTCCTGGCAATCTTGCTGACAAATAGCTTCAGTACTTTTAAATCACCAACCCAGAACTTACTACAAGTGTAAAAGTGCATCTTTTCCAGAAGCTTATGCAATGTCACAACATTTATTTCTGCCCAGTGTTGCATTCTTTTTCATAAAAGATTTTGTAGTGATGATGGGAGAGTCAGACCTGTAAAGTCTACTCCAGCACATCCCAAAGATTCTCAATGGGGCGAAGGTCTGGACTCTGTGTGGCTAACACTTATCCAATGGAAGGTTCTTACCCATTTGCTTAGCTAACTCCAGGTGGGAATTTTGTTGGCCAATCTGTGTACTTAGACCATGTGATATAGTCACCATCACACAGTCCCACAACAAAGTGCAATCTGCAGTTGTAGGATTGTACAACACTGCCACAGACTCCTTACTACAGCCCCAAGGAGTCTGTAGTTTTTGAATACCTGTCATGAAGGATATATGAAGGCTGACTTTGATCTAAAAATGATAGCTGCTTGCCTTTCATGCTGAGCCTTTGGCTTGAGTCCTTGAAAGTGTATGCAGACCTGGCAATTTGACTTCAGTGCTCCATACCTGTTCCAGATCTGCATTAACCAATGGAAGACTTTTACCTATTTGCTTAGCTAAATCCAGGTGGTGACTTCATTTTTGGACAGGCAGTCTATATTAGAAGTGAACATTGGAAACGTCTCATTTAATCAATCCGCTCCATTGTATCTGTATTTGCTCCCTGGCATGACAAATTGAAAGAAAAAAGTACATATAACCTCTGCAATGTCTGCTAGAGTAGAATAACCAACCATTGAACTTATCGGCTTCAGGATCATCAATATTGATTGCGATTATTTTCCAGTCCATCTCTCCTTCATCTATGAGTCCCAGAGCCCCCAGAACTTTCACTTGAATTACATCTCCCCTGGAGCAAACCTGCAACACCACAATGGCTTATGTTAATGTTACATTATAAATATTTTACAAACAACATGCAACACTCTGTCAGGGCTTTTCAACAACTGTCATAATTTTACTCATCACTGATCTTTAAAACGGAAGTCATCTTGAAAAAAGGAATAAAGGCAGCGCATCTGAAGTCTGCACAACTCCAATTAGAACCATCCTTTCGCCAAGTACCTGCATCACCCTAGCGCAAGACAGTCTGTTCTCACACCAAACAGCATTCAAAATATGCTGCCCAGCGCCAAGGGTCAGCTTGAGGTGGGGTGGGCTGGGGCTATGGCCGTGAGGGAGTTCCATCCATATGTGCATTGCTTCCAGCTCCCTCACATGTCCTGTAGAGGAGCCTGGACCGAAGTGACATCACATTTTGGCTCCAGACACCCTTACAGGGTGTGCAAAGGAGCTGTACAAGCAATGCACGTATGTATAGTCTTGCGTCACAGCACAGCAGTCCACACTGCACCCCAGCCCGAGGATCCACTCCAGTTCTCGTAAATTAGGGAGAATGGGTTGAGCTTAAAAAAAAAATAATTAAATCAAATAACATTTTTAATTTTTTTTTTTGTGTGTATGAGATTGTGTCTGCGGCTGTGTTTGTCTGTCAGTGTTTTTGAAGGCCCGTTCACACTAGTATAGTGTGTTAATCGCACAGTCCAATGCCATTAATGCACTACATCACACCTATTATGCGTTCTGGTACCCACCCACAGTTCCATCGCCCGCACCAGAACGCGGTACCGCAATGCCATGCATTCGAATTGCAGTGCGACTTGGGTCGCGACCTAATGACCAAGGACAATTGTGGGTCCTGGGGTTACACAGGTTGAGCACCACTGCTATAAGCTATAGTTCTGACAGATCACAGGGAAGGGAGGTGCAAATATTGATGTTCCTACCAACAGAAAATAAAAAAATCTCTTTGCGGTGCCATCTGCAATTGTGTGAAGGAAAAAAAAAAGGCTGCCAAGGAGAGATGCAACTATATGTGGAAGATAACTGACCAGCGTTTACCCTTATAGTGAACCTACCATTGGTGGGCCCATACCTGTGTCAATAGTAATGGGAGTTACCTACCATTTAGGTTGCCTTCCGGAGATTAACGTAGTGCAGCATGATAAAGTTGCCAAAAGTATTGGGACGCCTGCCTTTACACGCACATGAACTTTAATGGCATCCCAGTCTTAGTCCGTAGGGTTCAACATTGAGTTGGCCCACCCTTTGCTGCTATAACAGCTTCAACTCTTCTGGGAAGGTGTGCACATGGTTTAGGAGTGTGTCTATGGGAATGTTTGACCATTCTTCCAGAAGCACATTTGTGAGGTCAGGTACTGATGTTGGACGAGAAGGCCTGGCTCGCAGTCTCTGCTCTAATTCATCATAAAGGTGTTCTATCGGGTTGAGGTCAGGACTCTGTGCAGGCCAGTCAAGTTCCCCCACCCCAAACTTGCTCATCCATGTATTTATGGACCTTGCTTTGTGCACATGCATGTTGGAACAGGAAGGGACCATCCCCAAACTGTCCCCACAATGTTGGGGGCGTGAAATTATCCAAAATGTCTTGGTACGCTGATGCCTTAAGAGTTCCCTTCACTGGAACTAAGGGACCAAGCCCAAACCCTGAAAAACAAACACACATAATAAACCCCCCTCCACCAAACTTTACACTTGGCACAATGCAGTCAGGCAAGTACCGTTCTCCTGGCAACCGCCAAACCCAGACACGTCCATCAGATTGCCAGACAGAGAAGCATGATTCGTCACTCCAGAGAACACGCCTCCACTTCTCTAGAGTCCAGTGGCAGCGTGCTTTACACCAACTGCATCCAATGCTTTGCATTGCACTTGGTGATGCAAGGCTTGAATGCAGCTGCTCGGCCATGGAAACCCATTCCATGAAGCTCTCTACGCACTGTTGCTGTGCCAATTTGAAGGCCACACGAAGTTTGGAGGTCTGTAGCTATTGTCTCTGCAGACAGTTGACAACTTCTGCACACTTCAGCATGCGCTGACCCCTCTCTGTCATTTTACGTGGCCTACCACTTCGTGGCTGAGTTGCTGTTGTTCCCAGTTGCTTCCATTTTGTTATAATACCACTAACAGGTGACCATGGAATATTTAGTAGCAAGGAAATTTCACATATGAACTTATTGCACAGGTGACAACTAGTGATGGGCTCGGGCGTGTTCGCAAGCGCCTCGTGCCGAGCCCGCCGGGAAGCTGTCAGCGCGCAGTGCCAATTAAGGCACTGAGACATTTCTCGATCTCTGCAGCTGCGGACCGGGAACATGTCTCAGTGCCTGTGATTGGCCCTGCACGCTGACGGCTTCCTGGCGGGCTCGGCACGAGGTGCTTGCGAACAAGCCCGAGCCCATCACTAGTGACAACCTATCACGGTACCACGCTTGAATTCACTGAGCGCCTCAGAGCGACCCATTCTTTCACAAATGTTTGTAGAAGCGTCTGCATGCCTAGGTGCTTGATTTTATATGCCTGTGGCCATGGAGGTGATTGGAACACCTGAATCCAATGATTTAGAGGGGTGTCCCAATACTTTTGGCAATATAGTGTATGTATAGATGCACACACCCACCTCCCCTAAAAGAGCACTTATCTGTTAATGAATCTGCAAAAGCACAGGTGAGGTATTATGTGCAATCTTTTCAACCACGTTTCACCTCTTCACAACTCCACACGTAAGAATCAAGAGACAGCATGAAGAAAAAATGCCACTTAAATGGCGGTGAGGATCAGTACATGAATATGAATCATCAATTTTGCCCCTTTCAAACTATACTAACTCAGCAGGCCTGAAACCTCTACATAGCCTGAAATGCTCAATAATAATCTCATCACGGCAACTGGAACCTGTGCAGCTATAGTCTGACCACACAAACAGCCCCCACTGATACTGGATGTAATCCATCTGCTGAGGCAGAATGTCTGAATTTCATCTAAACTGGCCACACATGCGGGTGTAGAATGACTGCAGACATTAACATTTTGTAAACATGTTTTAAGGGCTCTGTACTACTGCAGTGCAACTCTTCATACTGGGATACACTAATCGTCAATGCATCGCCTTTCTGAAGCACACTGAGGTACATGGAAAAAAAAAAGCTTTTCTCATACAAAGTCAAATCACTGCAATAAGCTACTCATTATTGAAAATTAACTGCGGCTCATTAAAAACTCGGAGATACAATGAAGCATGTCATTCATGAAAACGCCCAGGAGACTGCCAGCACAAGAAAGCAAACATCTGCATCTTTTTCCTGAAGAGTAAACCATGAAGTGGAATTGGAGAAGAGGATACCCCTAATTAGAAGTTCCAGTTCACAGCTCAAATTACTAGCTATTGGAAAACTAACGTCTTGGTTAAGATGTGCTATAATCATTTTGAGACAAAGTGGGGAAAAAAGCCTCATTAATCAAGGCCTTCAAAATTACTACTCTAGGTAGGTATAAAATGACACCATTTAGGCAGACTATGTCCTACATTTTTTTTTTTTACAGGGACGCTTATTGGAATGAGCTTTGACGTATGTACTACTTTTTTAAATCAGTTCCACAGATTCATAAATTTGACTGCATCGGAGCATAATAAGCGACTCAGATGGTCTAAGGCAAGGGTTGGGAACCTCCGGCCCTCCAGCTGTGGTGAAACTACGAATCCCATGAGGCATTGCAAGATTCTCACAGCCACGACTCAGACAGATGCATCATGGAATCTGTAGTTTCACCACAGCTGGGGGGCCGGAGGTTCCCAGGTGTTATCATAAAGGAAGAATTGATGACTTGGGACCAAATGTCCCCACATTAAGGGCTTGTTCACACCAGATCCGGACCAGATCTGAATCTGTTTCTGCATATGCAGTGCTTTTTGATGCATTTATGCGTTCCGGTGCATTTCTTTTAGCTTAAAATGGGCTTTCAGGTGTGGTCCAGCGCGTTCCAGAGCATTTACATATGTTTTGGTGCGTTCCAGACCAGGAACAAAAATAAAAATAGGGCATTCATCAGTTTTTCCACATGGAACGGAATGCTGTGGTGTGAACTAGAGCACAAAATACCATTGGAAGTTATAATCACCCGAACCACAAGCCCGGTTGGCTGTTAGACCGGTTCCTTCCACCTCACTCCCCCTCCGCTCTAGCAGTCTAAGGTCCAGTGACTCAAGTCCAATACAGTGTATAGGACATGAGAAAACTGAGGGACATTCCATCGCTGGTGTTGAGGAGACAGGCTGCAGGCAACAGTCTAGGAGTCAGCTGGATTGTGATACGAGTGAGTATTACTGTTATTTTAGGCAAAATGAGCAAGTAACCCTTGAAGTGCAGGGGTATCCCCACTGCAAAGGTTAAGGTTTTATTTGCCCGGAGTTCTTCTTCAGGAGTGAACAGTGAAAATCTGTCCCATTGCAAAGATTTACCCAACACTATAATCCACACACTGTAAAAGGTTTGGATCCCTTTGCCCTGTAGAAAAAGAACATAGCCTCACTGACACACAGATTTTACAACATGATGGAACGAAATCAATTTGATGGTTAGTGCTTCCATCATGTAGAAATGTTTACAATCATTGTCTAGTTAACCCCTACATCGAGTGCTTGTTGGGAGTAGTGATCAGATACCATTAGCCATTACTTAGTCTTGTACAAAATGACACCTTTGCAGCATATCACCTCCTCCCCTAAGGGCAACAGAACAAAAGGAAAATTGTACAATATAATTTGTACTACAATTTAAAGCACACCTTAGAGCCGATTTCACAGACATCTATAGGATCATTATCTCCACAGCAGTTTGTATCCTCATCTTTGTGTTTAGGATCCTCCCAAGTCTGTTGAGCAAAAAACAGCAAGTTACATCACCAAAAAGGACCACGCTGCTTACCAAGGATGAATGCAGGTGACCACAACACCTTATACCCCCGCCCCTCTGAACAGACACTTTCCCATGCCCATACTTGCCACCTCTGCCCCTGCCAACTGCCAGTCCCTTGCAAAGATCCATGCAAAAGATTCTTGCCCTCTGCTATGGGTAGCAACCAAGCCCTGCATTTAACCACTCAGGAACCAAGTATTACATTGGGGAAGGGCAAGGGATCATACAGAGGAGTCCAAATTAAGTATTTATACAGCAGCGCGTTGGCAGTGATCAAAATATTGGCTAGAAAGGGGGGTATAGGTACCAGCGCATGTTACTGTACAGCAGGGGAAAATGGGTTTAGGAAACTTTAAAGCTTTTTTTTAAACACAAAAATGTAATACATTGCAGATCACCAGTCCTTATGCATTCATTTCCTATTTGCCCTTCATTTCTTTTTTGCCTTGTAATCCTAAGAACACATTTTCTGTCCTAGGGTGGCAATGAACACTCCTCCACCACTGTATCTATAAAGGGAGCAGCATCAACACTCTAGGCTGCTTTCCTAATTTGAACTACAGAGAACAATTTGAAAGGGAGGCCGCATTGCTTGAGATTTCAGTTCAGTTTCTTTTGGTTTTTCTTTTAAAGGCCCCATTCACACCGGATTCATTGGCATGCATTTAACGCATGCCAACACAGGGACATCTGAAAATGAATGGTTGTGAATAGGAGCAGTTCACACCAGTGTGTTGCATTCATGTGAGCTTCATGTCTCTGGGAATAAAAAAAAAAAAAAAAAAAAGGCAGCTTTCTGTCCCTGGGAAAAAAAAAAAAAAAAAAAAAAAGGACTCTACTTTCAGTGCAATGCAAGGGTGTTTAATGCATGTCAACACAACACACATCGACACAAAGCAAAATCAACACCTTACATAAGCTTAGCATAAAAATTATTTAAAAAAAAAAAATCAATCAATGCATTTCAATGTACAAAGCCAAGGCAAGTGAACTCACTTGCATTGAGTCACATCTAACGCACACATGTCGGTTTGAATGCACCCTAAAGGCAGCTCTCCTTATTGAACCTTAGCATTCCTTCATAGTTTCGCTGGAGAAAAGAGCTGCTACTGCCAAATGCAGCCATCTTTTAGGGTTCCTTAACATAACCAATCCAAGATTCTGAGGGATGTGCTTAAGGGGGTGTTAAAGTGTTTTATTATGGTCAGCAGACAGATCCTGAATGCCAATGTTTCTAATATGCATCTATATTTCCAGATAACTATTTACAATCCAACACGTAGCATACTGAACAGAAAGGAATTCGGATTTGATAGCCATCCATTATATAATAATCTTATGCAAATTCTCCGTAATATGTCCCATCTGCACCTTGTAACATAGGTGTGCTTTGCGTCTGATTGTTATTTTCTGATACATTAGAGCATCCACGTGTTATGAATGTAGCTCCAACATAGCAGGAAATATGGATTATGTATACAAGTTTGGCTCTGTCAGTTTGATCTCAGGTCAGAATCCAGACTCATAGATGTGCATTTCTTAGGACTGTTTTACAACAAGGTTACGACAGCAATTAGCAGACTCACTCAACCTCTTGCCGTCAGCCCGTGAAGAAAAAACGGACGGACGGCAGACTCGCATCAGCGGGTTGCCATCTCCAGACGGCATTTTTTTCCTGCTCGCGTGCGCCCCCTAGCGCGCGTGCACGGGCAGGAAAGACCCGCTCGTTTCTACAGCCCTTAATGGCTGTTTCACATACAGCCGATCAGCGGCTCTATAGCTGCCGATCGGTTGTATGGCGTGAATTTCGGAGCCCCCCCGATCGCGAGTGCCGCATCTTAATCCTCCATTATTTGCATGCAGCTTGGAATGTTTTAGGGGGTTTATGATACCTCTGCTTCTTGTTAAATGCATCTTAAGCTTGCTGTGTTTTCATCAAGGGTGTTTTAATCTGGTCTGTGGCTTATTAAAGTTGTCACCTTCTCTGCTTCTGTCAATGTGCCCTAAAGCGGAGCTGTGTTTTAGTGGGGGTTGTATGAAGAGCATCTCTCTGCCCACCCCAGAAATAAGGTCTAAATCTAACAGTTTTGTCACAGGCGTGCAAATTTTGGTGGAATAGGAGTGAAAGAATTGTGTTCAGTAACACATCAGCAGTCCTACAAAGTTTGTAGCTTGTCAGACCTCATCATCATAACAGGGATACTGCATTTCTGGCAAGATCAACCGGCATTTTCTGTACTTGCTAAAAATGTTCTTCGGTGTTCACAGAATGAAAAGTAAAAACTAAAGCAGTTACTATGTCCAAGGACTGGTAAGCTGCAATATTACATGTTTGCTCTTCTTAAATGGCGGAATAAACAGTTCAAGATAGGAGAACAAAATTATCAGATGCATTAAAAATTCTCTCTACAGACCATGCATTTCAACAAAAATCTTCTCGTAACATTTTTTGTGCATTTAATGTATTTTATTACCTATAAAAGCCTCCCCTGGGGTATACATCTATAAGCCAGGAGACTGCTGTTGGGGACCACTATATTGGATGTCAGCAGGCCCAGCAGACGCAAGTAAAACTAGTCTAGTATTCCCCTTTGCTTCTTCCCTGGGAGCTACTATGGTCATGAGGGGAGGGGCGGAGAAGCTGGCTCAGCACAGACCGTATTTAAAACACTCCCACAAGGAGAGGGCTGTGCTAAGGAATTGACTCTCATGGAGTAGGTCACATTTTCTCACAAGCTCAAAAAGTACTTTGCAAATGAATAAAAAAAATACATGGAAAGGGGAAAAAAAACAAAACTTATGTTCCTGTGTTTTTCACTGCATTTTTTTTAAAGTTGGTGACAGGGTCCCTTTTACCACATACATCCTAGGATCAGATCACATTTTACCAAAGAGCTTAATGTTGCACTGAACAAAATCCCCTAAATTAAAGTAACAGACTGCAACATTTTCTCAAAGGCACACATTGCCCTAAAATGTAGCCACTAACACACTAAGAGACATATCTATAAAGCAGTGAAAGTAACTTTCACCAAGCATAATGGTGGTGAGTCAATCATTGTCATTTGAAACACTTCCATTGAATGTTTGGTAAATGTCAGATTAAGTGCTTTATAAATACATAGAAGTTCTAAAATTACAACATTTTCAAACCTAGATAAATTAACAAAAATGTCTGAACATCTACAACTCGCATAACTTGACTGTAAATATATTTTTGAACTGGTAGACTTTTAGGAACATTTTAACAAAAAAATGTGTCTGTTTCCCCCCCCCCCACAGTTAATTATAAAGTTATTGGCTGTCAACATGCAATTGTGCCTCTTAAGTAAACATGTGGCCAGTTACAGAACATTGAATTTACTGAATGTATAAAGATAAAATGGTCTTGATAATATTTCAATGTAGAAAAATAATTTCCAAACAAAATGCCACACTGCTGTAATTATGCTATGGCCCCATCTTGGATTCAAGTGGGGAAGTGGTAAATAGTGGTCAATCGCAGCCAGCCCATTCTAGATATTTTATGCACCACTTTACATTTTGTGGTCACCAGAATTTCCTAGCTTGATCGCTCTGTGAATCGCCCAAAATACTAACAGTGCATAGTCAGCTTTGGGAAACAATCAGTGTATATTTATAATACGCAGATTACGTATCCACTCATCTCCAGTAACAATACATCTACATTGCTTCACCTGTCAGGGAGATTGTGCAAGAAAAGAAGGCAACTCATTGTCTCCTTTATCTTAATCGTGTGAGTGCCTGGAGGGGAGGGGGATGGCTCAGCTAGGGATTTAGCAGAAAGTTCCTATTTGCATAAAAGAGGTGCCATTTCTCAGCAGAGACTGTGTATTTGAAAAGGGAAGGCATCAGTCGAGAGCTACAGTATTTGTATACATAATGCTAGTTTATTAAAATTCCTTTGCCCACAAGATCATTTTAGAAATGTTACTTTACCCCTGAATTGAAGTGTACTGAGCTGTTGTAAGGTTTTACTAGAAGACTTGCCACAATGCAATATACAGTAAGTTATTCACCTACACACAAGGTAAGCAAGCTGTGGACAAATGCATTCTTGGACCTGGCAGGAGAGGCTCAGAGCATATGTGCTTCAAACACCAAATTCTATTTTTTGACCCTTATGTACCAGGTCTCTTTCTTTTTTTTAGGAAGGGTAACTAAAGAGACCCTATGGTCAGACGAATAATTTCAACAAAAATCTTCCTAGAAGATTATACGTGCATTTAGAGTATTTTATTCAAGTTATATACCTGTAAAAGCCTCCCTTCTGTAGACCTCCAAAAGCCCTGAGATTGCTGCTAGTTCCTGTGCCCACAGCCTCAGTTGTATATCTGCAGTGTAAGATCTAACACACTGCTGCCTTTAACTACTAGTCTCAGGAGATTTAGAGTGAGGTTTAGTAAGGTTTCTACTGTGCTGCACATTGTTCTCCTTGCTGGTAAATTTCACATGAAGACACAAAACCCTGTATCTACCACGATGGCCACCTTCAAACAGACACAGTGCAATAAAAGGTATAGTAAGTCAGCGATGGGGAAAGATCAGCTGCTGGGAGAACACTGGAAGAAATACTGGTGACTAGTCCTTTGCCCTCACCTGCCCTTTTTTGTGGCATAACCTTTCAGAGTTCTTCTACGTCATGAAAACATTATGTTCATCTAACATGAGTGAGCAGTCAAATTTCATTGTTTGAATTTGACGAACTTATGATCTTTTTTTTAATTAATATGTGCATTGCCAGAATTAGAAAAGCGCAATGCTTATAATGCTGTTCGTTTGACCTCAAATTTTAGACAAACTTCAAGGATAAGTACTGAGTCCACTACAAGGCTAGGATATGAAAACTCTAGGAAATTCCATATATAAACTGAGCCGTCAAAGCATTATGGCTGGCTGGACACTGGAAAAAAAAAAAATACATTTAGAGGTTAGCAAGACCTGAGGAAGAGCCCCATAGTTCCATATGTATCCTTTATGAGGGAAGATGTTTGACACATATCGAAGTTTTCCTTTCTTTACATCTTGCTTAATTGGATTTAAAGATTCCTTGGTGGCAATCTAAGGAGAAAGAAAACAGATTTTTAATAATTGTATGCATTCCTAGTTCTACAAAAATACATTTAATTGAATTAGTTGAAATACAGTATATTAAATCTACTGCATATAAAAAGTGCCAACTACCTCCATTTTAGCATTTGTCCAACGAGGAATTTCAACTACCATGTTGAATGCAGTCTGGAATAAATAAATTGATATTAAATCAGTATGCTAGCAGTGTGACAATATGCAAGGTGATCTGCCGCATGTAATCTACTTCAGTGCATTTATAGATAGCACTTTACATAGTTTTTCGGGAGAAAGTAAAAAGCATAAAGATAGAAAACCATTAAACTATAAAAGACTATGTTTAATATTTCTGTAACCACTTGGCATAAAGTATCTTTTATCCATACCTTATCCCAGTTAGATTTAGATTTCTTTGCTGGAACATCATTGTTCTAAAGAGAAAAGACAATCCACAAACACAGCAATCAATCAAAGCTATACATTAAGTACTGACTTGTCACAGACTGACTATAATTAATCTGTATAAGAGATCAGAGCATGGGAGCAGGTCAGGACAATGTCCAGTTTACATTAGAAAAGGCAAAATGGTGATCCTGAGTGCCCGATACATTTAATTTACATATCAGAATGCAATTTCTTCACTGTTTATTTTTACCCCCTATGGTAATGGTCACTGGCAGCTGACAACAACGTTTTTCAATAGCCCCGTATAGAAGAATATAAACCACCAATGGCAATTGCGCACATTCCCCCTAATACTAGTATAGTGAAAATTCTGAATGAGGCTTCTGCACACTGCTATATACCCTTACATATTTCTAGCAAACTTTGGCATAAAACCAGGATTCTTGGTTCCATATATTGCAATACATCTTTAAGCTGGCTAACTGTGTCAAAATCATCAAACAGTTCTACTGTTATAGTAACACATGTGTCCCATCAGACTCTTTCCCCTCCAAGGCATTTTGAATAGTGGTAAACAAGAGGGCTGCAACAAAGTCAACATGTTGTATATTGGAGCCGCCATGGAATTTAATGTTTAAGCACATACCGCTTCAGGTCCTGCATTAAGTGGGATATCATGAAATGGTGAGATGAATTTACCATCAGCATTCTCTGTAAAGAGAAGACAACACAAATTAGTAATATCAATATGAACTCGAAAATAAAATGAATAGTATAAGTAGTCTAAGTGCCGCCATTTGTACTTTTCTGAGTTGCTAAAAAGATAAAAGCTGCAGACCAGCCCCTGCAAAGAGAAGGCACTGACTCTTAATTTAGCTAAAACAGTGGTTTATAAACCCCTTCCATACAGCCCAGAAAGGATGGCCAAGTTGACTATTACATATTAAAAATACAGCTAACGTGGTAACTTCTCCAGGCACAGCTGGCCAAACATTATCTATAGCTTTCAGGCACAGCGGTCATTTCAATACATTAAGCAGACATTCCAAAAGAAAAAAAAGTTCTAGTACAAGAGATCACCATTTCTGGCAATGTTTATTAAGAAAAAAAAAGCTTTTCACACAAGCAGTCTTTTTATACAAAATGTTCTATTGTAAAGTTTTTAGAGGTACCTATAAAAAGGTGGCCATACGCTTAAAGGGTGAATCACAAAGCTGCTGAAGGATCCAGTCGTAGCTTCGGCTGATCCTTCGGCTCGCAGCGGTAGTGGGAGCCCTTCGGTTCAGTAGAACTGAAGGGCTGCTGTACGGGCTATTCACTATAGCCCGTACAGCAGCCGAATGTGCTCCAGTACACATTCAGATTTGTTCAAGCAATCCAAATTTCCGCCACGGCTGATCAAGGCAGAAAATCCAAAAAAGATAAAGCAAAGATCCTCCACACTGAATGGAGGGCCCCTGGTTGGCACTTTTCGATCAGTTCAATCATATTAGTTGCATTAAGGGCTCATTCACACCAGATGCATTTGGCTGCCATGGACAATCTTGTCTAGAACAGTCCTAATATATAGACAATGCAGTTTGCATTGTTTCCTATAAGTCAGTTCACACCCCCGCGATGCATAACGCACTGCAGTCAATAGAACTAAATTAAATGTCAGTTACAGTTTGTTGCGCTATAATCAGCACACTGCACCACTTCCTTCGCAGTAGTGCATGCTGCTGGTGTGAAAGGGTCCTTAATAATCATACTGATACTTTTGGAACCACCATTGGATTGATAGGATGTTGCAATGCAACAGCCCCGATAGCTCACATTGCTTACCCTCCACTCTGAGTCCTGGTGTGCAGCAAATTAAGGGGAAAAAATTAAAGGCAGATTTTTCACACACAAAAAAAAAATACTGTTTTCATTAATGTATTGCTGGATCAAAGGGTAGCTTTTATATTTTCCAGGAATTTCGTTTTTCCTGAATTTGTGCTTACGCCGAATTTTCAGTTCTTTGTGTGATATGCTTTTAATGTTAAATCTGTAGGTGGTTAAACATCTCATTAAACAGTTGACTATTCTGTATTAAAAATAATTTTAGAGGGGAGAAGTCCCCGCATTCTATACTGACATTTCTTTCCTGGTGATTAAAACTGTATCCTTTCTATAATTTGTTTCCAATACTGTAATGCTAGCAAAAAATCCACATATGCTCCAGGTGGCTTTTATTATGCTGCAATTCAGTTTATACGCTGATCGGTGACAGCAAAGTTTACCCACAGGAATTCTGAAATAATATAATAGCCTGTTTACGCATTTAAATCAAAGAACTCAAAGCAGGAAAAGAACCCTTCCACTAAAACAAACACTGATGTACGGCTGAGCTAATATCTATTCGGAGCTGGGCTATAGCAATGCTTCTGGTGCGCCACAGCAAGTTTTACCCGGTCAAATGATCTCATCCAGTGTCAAACAAAGTACTGCATACAGTAGGAAAGGAAAGCGGCCAAAAAAGGCACGGATCCAAGATCTCAAGTCACATTTCTGCAGCAGTACAGGCTACAAAGCTAAATGAAGACAGTGTGTTAAAGCCATGTGTTCATCACAACGCCAACTTTCCAATCCAGAAAAGAAAAAAGTTTAGAACCCCTTCTTTTTCTTTTCTAACTTTAAAAAAAGGGAAATGTACTGTATGTTAAGTGTGTACATATTGTGCGCCATTACCAAGTTTGTGAAAGTCCAAAGTATAGACAAAAATCCTCACATCCCAAGTGGCAATGCCCGAGCCGCTCAGGCACATGGCACTGAATTGTTGGATGTAGCTTGGCATCGTCTATACATAAAGCATTGGTCGGCACCTTTGATGCAATGAAACTGTATTTTCAGAAACCAGGATCTGCTAGCATCTGATGTCCTGCCATAAAGTTAGTTTACGGAAAAAGGTTTTTTTCTGCGTTTTGGATAGCATAGGGTGAGGTTTAAACCTCTGGCAAGTTTTCTTTTTAAAATCGCTCCTTGTGTCCCCAGTTGGGGAGATTTTAATGAATTTCCTGTACCAAATAGCACTGGCAATTGGGACAGGAAGTGAAGGGTAATATTTTGTAAGCCCTCCTTCACACCAGAGCAGTCGTCAGGCATTTCACGCGTGGCAGTGCTCAACATAAAGAACCCGATTATTTTCATATTTCATGTTGTGTCTTGTAGTTGCTATTTTAGCAACCGTCTTCCCTACCAAGTAGCTAGCTTTCCACTGGCTAAAAAAAAAAGAATGCTCAACCCTGAAAAAAAGAAATCTATATTGCCTCAAAATCGCCTGGAAATGCTCACACTCAAGTATGAAGGGAGGCAATTGCATTGTTCACGGTTATTTGAGGTTTCACCAGAAGTGCTTCAATGCTTGACACTAGGATTTTCTTTAATAGTGCATAGTTCACCCATCAATAGTGCCTGTACACACCGAAGTGTAGTGTAGACTAAAGCTTGTCATTCGAAATAGTAGATGAATGCCTTGAAGCAGAGTTGTGTGTTTTGGCCCCAAATAAACTCCAATGGGGTATGTGAAAATGTGTGAAAAGTGCCATTTTGGGCCAATATGTTTCGGTGGCAGAAATTTCGGTGCATCCCTAGTGAAAACCCCAGTACAAATATACTCAAAAAAAAGCTTTAAATAGAACCAACGACAAATTAGCTCAAATGTGAATGAGGCCTTAGGGTCAAATACAGTAGATACCCTTTACCTTTAAAACATGGAACAACATTTTCAAAGAGAACAATGGAAAAGGCTCAAAAATGTTAGTTGCAAAAGCTTTCAATTTTTTATTTTTTTTTAGGACAACAGGTTCTTGATTTTCTGGCAAAAATTGTCATCAAATAAACTGAAATCACAAGACAGTAGATTCACACCTACAAATACGCATGCCATTCACTAACACATTAAATAAAAAGGTTAAGTTGACTAGGGCTGCAACAACTAATCGACATAATCGATTATAATCGATTATTGAAAAAGTTGTCAACTTTTTCAATAATCGATTAATCGGCTTCCGATCAGTTGGCCCTGTTCACGGCTCCACACACGCTGTGCGCCGCACCTCCTCCCCAACTCACGCTCACCGCTGCCAGACCCGCCCGCATCCACGCTCTACACGCCGCACCTCCTTCCCGCCTCACACTCACCGCCCACCCACATCCACGATTGGCACAGGGACGCGGGGAGATGTAGTAAGGAGGAGCAGGTGTGGGGGGATGACAGCCGCTGATAGACAGGTCCGATCTCAGAAGCAAGTTGCTGGAAGACTGCTCAGGTATGCCTGCACTTTCCCACACATGGTGCTCTACAATGTATTGCTGGGATTTGTATTCCTCTATAGCTGATGGTACATTGTGCTGTATGTTATACAGCGCAATGTACCATCAGCTATAGAGGAATACAAATCCCAGCAATACATTATACAGTGTATGTATAATGTATTGCTGGGATTTGTTGTATCCCTGGTATATAGCTGGTGATATTCTGCACTGCACTGTATAGAGGACTACAAATCAAGGAATAATACATTATACAGCGCAATGCGGAATACCACCAGCTATAGAGGACTACAAAACCCAGCAACAGTACATTATACAGCGCAATGCAGAATACCGCCAGCTATAATGTACTATTGCTGAGATTTGTTGTAGTCCTCTATAGCTGGTGAAATTCTGCATTGCTCTGTATAATGTACTATTGCTGGGATTTGTAGTCCTCTATAGTCGGTGCCATTCTGCATTCATTGCTGTATAATTTTACACTTTCCTTTTCACTATATTGCACACCACACTATTTTTTTTCTTTTTTACTTCCACCGCTCCAAGCTTGCTCCTGTGATGGAGTGCAATCTCAATACAAGCTAGTAGTCCATCACTGGAGCCATTTTTTACATTTTATTTTATTATTTATCCGATTAACCGATTAATCGAACTTAATAATCGGCTAACTAATCGATTTTGAAAATAATCGTTAGCTGCAGCTCTAAAGTTGACCCAAAGCTTATATTTCAGTTTTAAATAGATGCTGCATATTTAATCTGACAGTTTTCTATATTCGTTGTGGATTCTACTGGTGAGATCTTGGAGCGCGAGTTCCTAGTTCTATATACACAAGCCCTGCCTATGAAAGATTTCCAACATCACTGTTGGAATTATTTTTCTTATTGGAAAATGCAGCAGGAGCCAGTACATGTGAAAATGGGCGTCTGAAACATCCAAAACAAAGTGGACAGGAACAGTCAAGAATAACAGCAATATGTTAGTGTTGGTGTATCCAAGACATATGAACACAGATTGACTCAGCCTACCAGGCTCCACTGAGGCCGACTCCACTGATGATTAAAATATCCAGTTTGGGTGGGCTGATCTTTTAAGATACACTGCCTGGCCAAAAATAGTCACACATGCCAATATTTTGTTGGCCCACTTTTAGCTTTGATTACGGCACACATTCACATTGGCATTGTTTCGCTTATGTAACGTCACAACATTTATTTGCAAGTTGTATTACTTTTTCACCAAGATCTTGTGGTGATGATGGGAGAGTCAGACCACTATGTAAAGTCTTCTTCAGCATATCCCAAGGATTCTCAATGGGGTTAAGGTCTGGACTCTGCGGTGGCCAATCCATGTGCGAAAATGATGTCTTATGCTCCCTAAACCACTTTTTCACAAATTTAAGCCCAATGAATCCCGACATTGTCATCTTGGAATATTTCCCTACTATCAGGGAAGACAAAATCCATTGATGCTAAAACCAGGCCATTCAGTACATTCAGGTAGGCAGATCTAATTTTTTGGGGACATAACGTGGCTGAACCTAGAGCTGACCAACTGAAGCAACCTCAGATCATAAAACTTATCCAATGGAAGGCTCTTACCCATTTGCTTAGCCAACTTCAGGTGGGGACTTTTTGGCCAATCCGTGTACTTAGACCATGTGATATAGAAACCATCACCTAGTCCCACAAAAACTGCAATCTGCAGTTGTAGGATTGTGAAACAATGCAACAGACTACAGTCCCACTACAGTCCCATACCGGTTCCAGATCTGCTTTACAGCTAGACAACTGTGCTAACTTCCATCAATACCTTTAAAAGGAGAGAGAAGATACATGCCCAATGCCAAGTTTGGATTTTGTCCTTTGTGGCTATCGAACAATATATTTAAATTAAAGAAATTGTGCCTGGAGTTCCGCTCTAAAGCGCAATTTTAGGCAATAGGTAAAATACAAAATCAGTAAGATACAAATGCTATCAATACTGCAACTGCGCTAAATTCTGGAAATCCACTTCATTTACAATAATTGGTCTCCCTAGTATTTTCAACACAAATTCAGAGCAGCTGGGGCTCCCGGGTGCCACAAACAAGTTTTACATGGTTTGCCAGTACGCCTGTATTTGACCCCAGAAGATAGCGCAAGATTTTGCGGTTACAGATGAGTTTTCCCAGAAAGGCACTTCCCATGATGCATCTGTGGTGTCAGGGCTACATCACCAGTGCCACACTCAACCAGCAAATGAAAAAAAAAAAAAGTAGTTGTAGGTAAAAGTAATTAAAAGTAGAAAAAAACAAAGTTTGTTTAATGAATGTAAAATTATTTTATATCAGCATGCAGAGCTGCACACAGATGTGATTTTTAGTGATAGGGGACCAAGGTCCACTTTTCAATGAACCATGGGGTTAGATACAAGGAGCTGCTATTGGCGATGTAGTAGGATCGGGGGCCGTCATTCTAACCTTTCTTCTGTAGTGATTCACTGATCTGAAATAAACATGCAGTAATTTCATATAAATAATGTGAACTCCCAACCTTCACGTTTGTTTCTGGTCATTAGCAAATGCTTGGACCAGGATGACTTCCAAGGAGCCTGCACCCTTGGAAAAGACAGCAAAGACAGCTCCCGTAGCTCTAGTTCCCCTTAACTAGGGATGAACTGATACTGAGTACTCGCCCAAATGCTCTGATACCTTCCCCGATATCAGCATCGAGCCAGCCAAACAGCACGGAGCCAGCCAAACAGCCAATCAGGAAGCCGGGCGGCGGGTAATGACCCACGGCCTAGCCTCCTGATTGGCCAGGAAGCCGGCTCTATGCTAATTGGCTGGGGAGCCAGCTTCCAGGCCAATCAGCATGGAGCCAGCTACCCTGGCAATCAAGAAGCTGGGCAGCAGGTAATGACCTAGGTGGCCAATCAGCATGGAGCCAGCCAAACAGCATGGAGCCGGGTTCCCGGGCAATCAAGAAGCTAGGCGGCAGATAATGACACGCAGCTCAGCTTCCTGATTGCTCGGGAAGTCGGCTCCATGCTAGTGGAAGTACCGCTATCGGTACTGGTGAGTAACGGATGATACATACGGATGTACTCGTAACCAAAAAAACAGCATCGGTGCATCCCTACCTTTAACACAGGTCTTTGTAACCAGGGGTATGAGACAAGAGCTCTGAATAAGTTGAATAAAACATTTTAACTTAAGGCTCTATTCACACTTGTGCGGGTGTGACAGGGCACCGGTGTGTAACAGCATTTTTTGTATGTCATATATGGGGCACTCCATTCGTTTCAAAGAGCTGACCGAAGCACAACGATCTCACCAAAGAAACTTTTTTCTTTAAAATGTTCCACAGCAAAATGCTTGGTACTTTGGTATATAGCAAGGTGCATTTGGGTGCAATTATCAATAGCACATCTCACAGAATGACAAGCATTTTGCTGTGCTGTGGTACCGTGCACTTTGATGCAAATCAGAGATGTGAACCGAGCCTTATTGAACCTGAAATCAATGTGGAAAAGTCAACTTGACATTCCAGATGACATACTAATAACACTGTTAGTAATTGTTGCTCAAAAGCAAGAGCAAAAACCTCACTAGTTTTAACTACACTGTGCGATTGTGATTTTACATGGTTATACAAATATAATAAATTATGATTTTATACTCGCTGACTTTCTCCTAGCTATTCGTACACAAGATCTTCTGCAGTCACATTGGCACCTAACAGTACTGAGGATTATTATTATACAGGATTTATATAGCTGTATAAGTCTTTACGTCACCCTAGATATAAAGTTTAATTTAGAATGGGCCAGCCTGTGCGGGCCTCACAGCATTAATTTCATGGCTTGTGTACAAAGGTATTTATGTGTGAACTGCTTTTATTACACATACAAGTCAATGACTGTACAAGCAACTCAGAAGCAGCTCACAGTAGGGCTGCAACTAATTATTATTTTCATAATCGATTAGTTGGCAGATTTTTTTCCCCAGATTAAAATCAGATAAAAAAAATTAAATACCATCTTTTAATTTAAAATACAATACACAAATGCAGTGTTATAAACAAAGTTTACTTCAGAATAAAACTGCATGCACAATTTATTGCACTGGAACGCATGGCATTTTGGTACCGCGGGTTACGGTGCAGGCGATCACACAGTGGGTGGAAGGCGCATTTGGGTTGCAATTGAAATGAATGGCACTGCAATGCACCTCCCACAGCAGAATTTGTCAGGGCGAAACCAAAAATGACTTCATTCCCAACTTTTATCATTTTATTTTTTTTAAATAACTGTATTATAAGCACATGGAGCTTGAATAGCTTCAGCCAGGGAATGACAGCTGCCCATGGCAAGATTTCACAGAGGGCAGATGAATGTAAATACCGCAGGTAGAGGGCTGATGCAATAGCCAGCCTGCTATTGGCCTTTTCAAATAGCAAAAGCCAATAGCAGGCTGGCTATTGCACCTGCCCACTGCTTGCTGTGCCCTCCTCCCAGCGTGGAGGAGAGAGCTGGGGATCCAACTAACTATACAGAGTATAGTTGACAACTATTCTCATAATCGATTCGTTGGCTGCAGCCCTAGCTCAAAGCAAGTTAAAGTAATGGAAACCCAAAGTCATATTGCATTCAGACCTGGGGCTGTGCAATAATCTGCAGAAGCCAGTGTATTGCACCTGCAATCCATTGATTGCAGTTGCAAGGCTCTGCATGCTCCAATGCATACAAGTTAATAAGTGCACATTTCTATTTTGAATGTGGGTGCATTTGTCAAACTTGCACTGGGCAGACGTAGCAAGACTTTGTGTTTTAGTTTGTGTCTGATAAAGCGGAGCTTCATGTCCCCGTTGTCCTTGCAGTGTCCTCTCCAGTGTGACCCCGGTGTGCATCTTAAGGTCACACACATGACAGCACAGTTGTCAGACCGGCACAAGCGTTACACCCTAACCAACCCCACCGCAGCACGGTCCACGTGGGGTAAAGAAGAGGGCTATTCTGCAGAGGAATAACGCTCATTCATTGAGCGGCGCGACCATTCCACAACAGAACGCCCCCCTCCCTGTGGTGGAAGAAGCAGCAGCGTCTACTTACTGAAGTAGAGCCGGTACTCTATGGAGTTGGGCCGCCCTCTCTCTTCTATGCTGTAGCGCTGCATGCTGAGGCAGCGGAGGACCGCCACGGGCTTTCCGGGCCGCTGAGTCCAGGCAGCTCGGCACAGCCTAAGCAAG